CAAGTGGAATTTGAATCCACGTCTGTGATTTCAAAGCTGAAGCTTTCTCCCCACCGTATCCAGCTTATTCTTTCTCTTACACCGCAAATTCAGTCCATCAGGGAATCTCACTGACTTTAGTTGACCCTTTAAACACATCCACTGTCTGACCACTTTTCATGACTGCCACCGTGATCTCTTGCCCTGGACCTTTTGCAGCATCTTCCTATGTGGCCTCCCTACTCCCACCCCTGCTTATAGCCCCCCCACCCCCACCCCAGTCTGTGATCTCTTTAAGGCATAATCCAGGTCATCTTACTCCTCTGCTGAAAATTCTCCTGTGGCTTTTCACCTCTTTCAGAGTAAAACCAAGAGTTCTTGTGACCCACCGTGTTCTGACTGCAGATGTTCCACATTAGCGTGTGCCCCATCCCCACCCCGCTATTTCTCTGGCCTCCTTGCAGTCCTCAAACCCTCTGAGCACACTCACACCTCAGGCCCTTTGCGCTTGCTCTTCTTTCAATCTAAGGCTCTTTATCCAGGTATCTTTTTGGCTTGCTCTCTCCCTTCATTGAGATCTTTGCTTATATGTGACCATATCACATACATGTCACCGTTATCCCAGAGGCCTTTCTTGATCACCTGCAGGAACAGCCTCCATCACCTCCACCCTTTACTCAGGTTTATTTTTCTTCTTCCTTTTTATCATCACCTGCCAATATTGTAGACATTCTTTTAACCATTTGTTTGTAGGCTGTGTGCACCAGCCCCCCTTTCCCCCCACTAAAATGTAAGCTCAGTAAGATCAGGGACTTTGTCTTTGTTCATAACTGTATTCCGAGTGCCTAAAACAGTGTTCTAGTAGGCGCTCAGGAAAGACTTGTTAAATACATGCTGTTTTGTGAGCTAACACTGTTTTCCCTTTTGTCCTTCGAATGTTAACATACGGATTCCACATATTTGGAGGTAGGTCATTTGTAAGATTATCAGCCAGCCAGTGTTGATCAAGGATTTTTTTTGTGTAGAGCACAACATTTTAACTCCTTCATTTTGGGCTTAGGTGCTAATGTTACTGTGGGACCTTTGCTCATTGCCATGTTATCAGGGATCTCTGTTCCATCAGAATGATTCCTTTTTCCTAACATTTTCTAGTAAGGCCAAGGGTTTCTACCAATGAGATAATCAAGGGCCCTTTTGTGGAAATGCTCATCTTGTGGTCTGCAAGTGAAATAATACAAACTCCAAAACTAGGCTCTATGTATACAGTTATTCAGATCCTGAAATGGAGGATGAATATACAGACTTAAGGAGAAAAGATTCCCTGAAATGCCTCTTAGGAGCCTCAGCCTCTGCCTTAAGAATATGTGCTGACTTCACTGGTGAACTTAGTGCTCATAAAAGGCAGATTAGACCCTGTCTTGAGAATTCCATGTTGTGTAAAAAGACTGGAGCCTGGCGTTCTCTGGACCCATGTTTCCCAAAGCATGGGTGTGAATTGTCCTGGTCATTTTTAAATTTGTGAAGGCATATTTAGTACACAGATGACAACATGAAAGATGTGCTACTACATGAAGTTAGAAGGTTCAGTGTTTGATTCTTTAATATCTGCCATGCAGCCCTGGGCATCCATCTTTCTCTTGTTCTGTGACATTAAGTTGTAATAACCTTCTTGTTCCTGAATTGAGGCCCCCTAAACTGTTCCCTAAAGACCAGATACCTCAGCAAGCTACTCAATGGGTGAGAAAAAAAGATACCGAGTTTGTTTCCAGGGATTTTTTCAATAGGCTGAGCAAGGACAAAAAAGCTTTGCTTTATGGGCTGGTTAATTATTTTCAGTTTGGGATTGTAAGTGCAAAGACCAGGGCACTTGCCTGCGTGGGTAGCTGTCAAGGTTCACGCTGTTTCCGAGCTGGCAATATTTATAATGGCAAATTGTTGAGCATAAGAAACTTTTAAAAATTTGTTCTGCCCAAAATACTCCCTACGAAAGTATGGGTATCTTCTTGACCTGTTCACTATAATGTTTCCCTGCGTAGACTGGAAAAGTGGATTCGTTATCATTTATTGGGCTTTTGTTTAACTGTTTAAGGATGTACCTAGATGACATTTTGACATATAAGATAAAGATATTTCTTTTTTAAAAAAAGATATTTCTTTACATAACTTGAAATTCTCCTTCTTTTAAAATTCTGAGTAACTAAGACCTGTAAGTTTGCCTTTGTTTAGATAGATAACTTTGCTTAAGCTCTAGAATATCTAAAATTGTGGTTTAAACTCTCATGCTACATTGTCAACTTCCTCCTGTCATTAATTTTCTGGACAGCAGCAGTAGAAAGGGACCCCAGTACTATATTCAGTGCTGTCTATAATGAAGTGTTCTGTTGCTAATTCATTCAGTAGATGTTCTTAGCACTCCTACTACATGCTAGGCAATGGTAGTGGCTAAGCATTGGCAATATAATGGTGAATAAGACTGTGTCGTCACAGAGCTTATGCTCTAGAAATCGATACTGTCGGTGATTGGATTTCGTTTTCTGTACTTAAGTTTAGCCTTCCTTCTGCCACTGCTCCACACATTTCCACTGTTTGAACCGTGCTGGCTGAACTACTGCAGTTCCATGAGAACACCCTGCTCTGTCTCCTTTTCTTTGCCCCTGCTGTTCCCATTACAAAATGTTCTTCCCTTATGTGTTTACCTGGCAAATTCCTCCACATTATTAAGACTTAGCTCAAAAGTTATTTCATCTCTGAATCCTTTCCATCCTCTGCTAGGCCATGTTAACTGCTTTGATTTTAAACCACTGTAGAAATAAATACCCTTTCCAGAATAGGATGTACATGCGTCTGTTGTCCCCACCTCAAGAGCCAGGACCTTCTCTAGACTAGCTGGATGGTTTAGCCAAATGATGAGTTTGTTAACTTGTGGCACCATCAAGTGGTTCAGCCAAGCAGTGCGACTTCATTCTTCTGCAAAATCAGAACAGTCTGATTTATGCCACACAGAGAGGGAGGGGGGATTAGAATACCTAATTATATAATTGGAAGGTATAATGAGTGGACCACCTTTATGTTGAGAAGCTCAGTACTGTACAGTACTCTTGGCAGGCTTGTGATCAATATATGGGAAGGTTTTTGTTTTTGTTTTTGTTTTAATCTTTTTTTTTTTTTGTAGCCAGGAAACCTGGGTCATAGAGGTGTGATGGGGTTTGCTTATGGCCCTTCACTGTTGGAGTCAGAGTATATGCATACACTCTCTTTGCTTTGTTTGCTGCTCAGCTTGAACAAACTTTTCTTTCCCT